TTCACCTTCCCGTCGGTCTGGATGGCGGGCGTCTTCTGGCTCAGCGCCCTGCTGGACAACGGCCTCAACCGCAGGCCCATCCTGCGAGCCGGTCAGTCGCCGGGCCTCCCGGTCCCTTCCCCGCCGCTCTCTCGCCCTTGGACGGGCTGCGAGGGGTCGCCGGGGCTGCTGCCCCTGCCGGGATCCCCGGCTCGGACTCCGGGCCGCTGACCACCACGCGGACCTCTCCGTAGCAAAGAGGCAGAAGGGAAGAGCCCCCTGCCCATAATGCACAGCCGAGGGGGAGCCCAAAAGAAGCCACGTTCCAGCTCAGGCTCGGGAGGACCCCGGTCTGGTCTCTGGGGGGGGGGGGGTAGATGCTCCCAAGGGGGCCCTTCCTGATGGACCCAAATGGAGGGTTCGGTTATGCCTTGGATTGTCCTCTTGGGTTCCTATTGGCGGTCAAAGCAGAATTAACGCCCCCCCTCAACCCTCCCCTCCAACACAACAACCCTGCGAGGTGGGACAGGCTGAGAGAGAGGGGGGGGGACTGGCCAAGGTCACCCAAACGACCTCTATTAATCTCTTAGACCAACCCCAATCCATTACTAATAATTTTGATTCCAGTGCTAGGAAAAGTCTTGAGTTTCTGACGAACCAGCCATCGACCGACAAGTAGAGACAAATCGTACTTACCCACCATTCAAAAGAAACAATAAAAATATTCGGAAGGAAAAGACTCAGGACACATCCTCTCCTGCTGCCCGAGGTCAGATAAATGGGGATTAGCTCCAGACAAAAAAAAGCCATATGTAATCAAGGAATCACAAAGGAGGAAACTGCACCCCCCCCCCCAACACTGGCAGGAGGGTTTAATTCTTTACTGGATTGTTATCTGATCTCGCCTCCCAATGTAGGGTCAAGGCCAACAAATACCCTCCCAATCTTCCCCCCACAATATCCCTGCGAGGTGGGTCAGGCTGGGAGAGAGGAACTGGCCCAGGTGACACCAAATTGGCTCTATTAGTAATTAGTCTATTACAGAAGTGGTCACAAACCAGTGAGTCAGGGACCACTGGTGGTCCGCAAGAAAATTTTGGTGGTTGCAGAGAAATATCACCCCCAAAGCACCCCCTCCAAAGCAATTGATCCAGGTTGTGCGGAAACACAAGGATGCGCCGCCCACCTGGCCCATGGGAACACAAGGCTTGCATCGCTTACTTTGCGAACAACACAAGGTAGTGAGGGCAGGGGGGGAAAGGGCGGGGGGGGGAAGAACTTGGCTGCACTCAAGGAAAGCAGCAAAAGTCTTTTTTTCTCTAACCCAAACTCCACCAGAAATGAGTCTTTGGGAGCCTGCAAGGCCTCCTTCTCCAAGGGGCTGCACCATTCTGGCTGAGTTTGCGGGAGAGGAAGGGTATGAAAACTGAATACCAGACAGGCTCTAGCATCCTTAACGTGGGAAGATGTGCTTGGGGTGGGAGGTGATGGTCAGCCAGTATCCAGCGATGGTTTGCCAGGATAGGGCTGAGGAAAGGACATTTCCACTTTGGGATCAGGAGGAGAAGAAGGGAAGGAAAGAGAAAAATGATTGAGGGAATAAACACATCAGTTTTCGTGGCTTCAGACCAGACTGTGTTCAGCCCGTCCGCTTCACAACTTCATTTGTAGGCACCATGCTAGTGACACCCACCTGCTTGTACACCCTTTGAAGTGCTGATTTTCGGGCCAAGGTGTCCCACTTGTGCCCTCTTGATCTTTTCCAGGCGTCCATCGCCAAGTCCTGATGACCACGCTGGGCTTTTGTTTGGGCTACTACATCAAGAGATACTCCAATTACTACTACGCTGAGCGGGACAGGGAGCTTTTCAGTTACATAAAGCACCATCCTGAGGACTTTGTGGAAAAAGGTACTTTGGCGGGAAGCGCTTTCCAGGAGCGAGGCTCAAAGGTGATGCCGCCTCAGGTTAGGGAAAGGAAGGCTGCTGCTTTCTGGGGCAGAGGGCGGGGCCCCAGGTGTTCCTCCTGAGTTCGCCCACAGCATGGATGAGATAAAGGCCCCCCAATTATTCATCAAGAGAGTAAGTGTGACAGGCGCAGCAAAGTAGTCAGTATCGAGGAGGCTGGGAATTATAGTTCAGCCACAGCTGGATTGCAGTGAGTTGTCCAATGTCCGAAGTGTATGGAGTTGTGGAGGTAATTGTATCTCAGGTATCAAAATCTGGGAACTTGGGGAGGAGGTTTACGTTGCTGATACAGTCTTGACTGTTGGCAACTACAGGGACAAATTTCTGCATATTCCCTTAGCGACAGTTTTGCCCGTCTTTTGAGGACTGAGAGAAAGGGACTGGTCCAAAGTCATCCCGTTGGCTTTCATGCCTGAGGCAGGACTAGAACTCGCCATCTCCTGACTTCCAGTCCCCTGGAAGAACCGCTGTGTCAATCTGGCTCTCAGCAGACCGGTCCCTTCAATGGGCATGCTTGTCAACGTTTTACTTAGAGGTGGCTTTAGACCAAGGGTCTTCAAACTTGGCAAGTTTAAGACTTGTGGAATTCAACTCCCAGAATTACTGAACTAACATGATTGGAGGGGGAATTCTGAGACTTGAAGTCCACAAGTCTTAAAGCTGTCGAGTTTGGAGACCCCTGTTTTAGGGGTTTCATAACAGAAAGTCTTTGTCCGCTTGTCCCAAATTTGCTTTTTGAAGAGGCAACTGGACTTTCTGGTTTTTCTTTGAAGACGTTTTGCTGGAAGAAGCTTCTTGGATGAGAAGCGAAAAGTTTTCAAAGAAAAACCACGACTTGGCTGACTCTCCATAGACACTCTTTGTGCACTTGCTTGCTTAAATTCTCTTTAAGGAAGCGTAAACCAGAGATTTCTACTCAAAGGGTAAGGTAAATATATATACCCACAAAGTAAAGAGCCGGTGCTTTTCCTTGTCCTTGGTCTGTGAATAAGCTTCACCAGCAGGATCATTTCCTGTTTTGTTAGAGCCCAGAAAGGTGGGAGAGATTCTGGAAGACTTCACCCCAACTCGCTGAAGTTCTGCCAGCAGATCCTGTGATCTTCACGGTGTTTTCTCTCCTCCTTACTCTGGCGTGTGGAAGCCCTCGGGATCAAATTGCTTATTGATAAATGTCTACTGTATCCTTTCTAATAAAAGCTCT